TCATCCTGGCACCAACACAGAGAATTAATGATTTCAGCAGCAGCCTAAACAGATGGCAGGCACGGAATGGCTCTAATCTTCTCTGACAATGCTGGAGAATAGCTCCATGGAGTTTAATTTAACAGGATGGGGGCTGCTATTTTCTCTCTGTCTCCTCCTGCACAGCACGCCTGTCCGGGGCTCAGAGACCTACATCTTAAGGTCCAGCAGTGCAGTGACTCAGGGTTGACCCTTCGAGACAAGCAAGGGTCTCGAGTTACTATGGGATCCTTTTCCTGCATGGAATTCTGTTCCAATAAACACAATTCAAACTTTTAATCATAAAGTGGGATGCCCACCATGAGGGACTTTTAGCATCTATTTTCCTCTATTAGCTTTGAAGAGACACTGAACCACATTTTTTCCTGGACAGTGAATATTTTTCTGAAGGGCTAGAGGCAAAGCATCAGAGAAGTCTCATTTTGCAAACTCTGGCCTCCAGCTAGCTTTTTAAGGGTCACCACTGATGGGATAAGACATTACTTCTGAAGTTGGTCGGAATCACTGCTCATGGCTTCAAGATCCCCTGGGGAGCTATATGCAATCCTGATTCCAGGGCTGCAACCGAGAATCTCTGGGGGTGGGACCTAGTCGTCAGTATTTTTTAGAGCTCCCCTTGGAATCCCCAGCAGGTTCCAACGGGCAGTCAGGTGTGCAAGAAATATTGCATCTGACATTTTAAATACTTCATTTTACATTTCTATAAATCGTTTCGATAAGTTAATTTCCATTCAGAATCCCCACTGCAGTGGGTTTGCCTCTACCTGCTTCAATCTCTCCAAGGCCTGGTTAAGGTTCTGTGGTTTGCAGGGTTAGCACGCCCGGCCCAGACAGGCAAACACCGCTGGTGCCGCAGCCCTGAGTTCAGGGATGTCCTGAGACCAGGCTGTAATAGCCAGGACAGTCTGAAAGTAAAAGACATTTCTGCCTGAATATCCTGTACCTGCAGGCACCGTGCACTGCGGAGCTGCTCTGGGGCTCAGATGAGGTGGTCTCCTGCAGGCCGGCTCCACCCTTCTGCAGGTAAGGCAGGGCCTAAAGAGAACTGGTTCTCTTCCAAAAGGCCTGATGTGCGCCTCCCTATTCAGACATTGTCATCCGCAACTATGCAATGTGCTGGCGAGGCCCTGGGGCCACCGAGCTACGCATCTTTGCGCTGCTCTCCCCACTGTGCACCCTGTACTGACTTTCCTGCATCCATTAAATGAGCAATCATCGTCTGCTTTACCAAGAGGTCAGAGAGCCTGGTCTTACCATCAATCGGTGCCTACTACTGCCATCTGTCAGTATAATGATGGTGCAGCGCTTCTGGAAACCCACTGGATACAGACACACAGTAGGTGCTCAACAGTGCTGGTTAAACTGAGGAATCTACCCCAAAAGGCACCCAGGCTCTAACAAAAGAAAGGTATCTGTACGGCCTGGACAAGGCTTTCTGGAGGCAAGGCACAGAAACCCAAAGACAGTCAAGTGAAAAGGAGACAAATGGCAGGAAAAAGACAAATCTCATGGAGACAAAGTACAGAAAGTACAGCTGAGCCTCACAGGCCCACAGGCGGCCGCTCCGTCCCTCCCTCTTTGGGACCACCTGACTCCATGCTGCTGTGTGTCTGCGCTGTGCTTCTGTCATTCACCCTCTGCAGACCCCAGTCCTTTGCTCCATTAGCACATGGCCCCCTTGAGTGACCCAATAAGAGCGACCTCCACTTATTTCTGGGAGAAACTTTAATCTGTCACCTCAGGGGAAGGCGGGGAGCTAACGTATGGTTGGAATAATACTCTTATCTGGGGCCACTGAAAAGAACCAGGGTCATCAGAACAAATGAGAAACACAGCTCTGCTGAGTGATGTGATGATACCCCAAGAAATGAGAATTCAGGCACAAACATGAGTTGTAACACCTTTATTTCACAATGACTACAGGATCAAATTTCACAGACAACTAATTTATAGCTCCAATCACAACAACACTGAATCAAAAACAATCCTTCATAAAAACTTGGCCTGAGAAATGTTCATTTGAATTTTAATCTACTTAAATTTCACATCATGGAACTGTACATATAAAAATACTAACACGATTGGGGGAGACAACAGATTACAAATGAAGAGGAACCACTTGTAGCAACCTCTCACTTGTCCTGACCAGGAAGCGAGATGGAAGGTGGTGAGTAACTAAAGGAACGTCACTAGGTCAATGCACTAACTTCCACTCATTTCTCTGCTGGAAACGCCACTCAAAGCCTCACTCAGATCCCGTCTGCTGTGACCCGACACACAGCATGCAGTTCCATGGCTTCCCAGCTCTCGGCACAGGAGAGGCACATTCCGAGAGGCAGGCAGGGGACTGGCGGAGAGAAGCGACAAATACAGCGAGGGGAGAGAAAACTGACCACAACTGCCACGGAACCCCCATCAGAGCCATTCAGGGCCACTCAGTGCAGGGGCTCCAACAGCTGAACAGGACCTGAAAGAAAGAGTTCAAAACATACGCAATGGCCCTGAAAAGATGTCATTAATCTTGGTAGATTCTGGTTTGCAAAACCAGGGACGCTACGCTGACTCAAGAAAGTGTTCCATGAAAATGGCTGAAATAAAGCCAAAAAGACGTGCAACTCTAAAGAATAACCTCGCGTTGTCGGTACCGTGCACCCACAATGTCTGGTAAATGAGATCTTTCTACACACACACACACTACCTACATAAAACAAATATAGCACCGCTTTTTTATCCACATATGACTGAAAACATAAAAGCCCCTTCATGGTAAAAGCACCTCCATCGCGTAGAGACAGCTTAAGTCAGCTTCTCGGCGTAAGAACTTCGTATCGTGTCCTGAGCGGTCCACTGTATTGACCGGTGGGCCCAACGATCTGCAAAACCTTCTTTAAATGATCGAAGATGCAGAGGCCAAAAACACCTCTGCTAGACCGGTATTTCTCAAAACATGGTCTGTGCAACAGCACCACCCACTCTCCTGGGGAACTTGTTTTAAATTGCAGATCCCGAGTCCCTACCAAAATGGCATGAATCCGAATCACTGGGGGAGGGCCCGGACGCCCCAGGATTTCTGGTACAAGTGGAAGACTGGGACTCGCTGGAGTGAACCATTACCTTGAAAGGGGAGACTGACCACGGCTGTGAATTAACCCCTTCCCAGCCGTGTTCCTAATGTGCCAATAAGGCCATACCCCTGGTTTTGACATTTCTTATACTAGACTACAGAATAAAGATGAACGTGGGCTTCTAAATGTTTCATCCCAGGAAAAGGTCTCTAACATATCATAAAAATGAACTCTAACAAGCCCTAAGGAATTTTTTAAAAGCCTCAGATTTCTAAGCCATAGATGTGAAGCCTGTAGCCATGGGTGTCTGCAGGAGGAAAAGGGAGTGAGGGAAAGTGTCTGAGGATTATAGGGAAACGGGAGGAAATACATCTAAAAGCAGTCTTACAGGAGCGGCAGAAGGCAGCTTACATCCAGAAGAGGGAAATGCAAATCTGTTCCATATTGGCTGGGATGTTTAGGCTGGTCCTTGACACTCTTGAAGCAGAGGCTGGAAACTACTAGCAAACATGTTTTGTTTGGCCAGCACAATGTTTTAAACAATTCTGAATTTGTCGCCAACATGTAAAAAATCAGGAGGTTTCCTTCCTTCCTTCCTTCCTTCCTTCCTTCCTTCCTTCCTTCCTT